GAAAGAGGGTATAGTTAGGTTATGTGCAGTGGTGCTGGAATAGCCCCAGTCTTCTCACACTGATATTAAGAGACCTCTACTTCTCACTCCCAGTCTAGTGAAATCATAGCTGGGAAAAGGCATATTTTTTTAATAACAGAAAATCTTATCAGTGCTTTTAAAGAACTCATGTGGTTGTGGATTTCTTTTAAATTTTTGCTTACCATCCTTACTGTTTTATATGTTGAGTTTCTTATGTAGCTCTCAAAACGAACTAATGTAAATGCATTGAAGTTCAACATGTATACTGTTGGCTAGAAATAAATTAAGATCGGCCTTCAGATTCACAACTTCTGCCATTTGTGGCTGGTTGCTGTGTGGATGAAAAGGAGTTGGCTGAACTGCTGACTGGATAAGGCTTGATACGGTTGGAGGATAATGGTAAAAGAAAATTACTTTCCTAGTCTGTTGAACATGCACCCCAGTGACACCATATGGGGATTTTTTTGATCTCGTAGTTCTTTTGGCTTAATGACTGTTTCTATAAGCATAAAAAACACTAAAGTGTAAGAATTAATCAGTTTTTGGGAAGGATTTAGGTCTCTTTTTCCAGTCAGTCATAGACACATTTTTTTGGTAGTTTTACCTTTGTAAAGGGCTATGGCCATGTGCTATGTGTAGGATTAAATCTGAGCAGCTTGCAAAAGGTAACCAGTCAGTGATCAGTTTAGGCTGCCGTGTTCCAGATGAGTTTTTCCGTTGGCTTCCAGCTGTGCTCCAAGGTCATGGTTTTGCCTGTTCTTGGTGGGGGGAAGTTTGCAACTCTCCATGATCTCCTGCTGAGTGATTAACTTTACGCTGCCTGGCAGCAGTTAAACAAAGTGATCAGAGCGTAACCAGATACCTGTATGGACGTTGTGTTCCAGGCAGTGAAGGACGCTGAACTCCACAGTGTTCCCAGGCTTTGTCCTACAAAGTCACAAATGCTTAAATTCCTTTAGTGTCGTCACAAGGGTGAATTGTTGTTGTTTTCTATTACTTTTTTTTTCAACTAGGTGTCAGAATGTTTTTATGATGCACTTTTTTGTTTAAGAAAATGGGCACTTTAATTATTATTTAATTATGGTATTGTGTACTTAATTTAAGAGAGTTATTATTAATAGATACTGTAATGATAATATCTGTGTTAACTGATGTGATAGTCACAGTTGTAGCTTCAGAGTGATTGTAGTCTTTCAAGCTAGTTCCTTGATGTGGATAATTATTTCTGAAGTTTGGATTTATGTTAAATTATCTGTAAATTCAAGAGGAACCATCACGGAAAGTTTTAAAATTTGAATAATAGGGATAAAACAATAGTTTGAACCATGTACTATTTTCAAATACTTTCTTATGGTCTTGGGCAAGTTGTTTCTAGTTTTCCACTGACTTGTTTGTAAAGTAGTTTCTCCTATGATGGGAGGTCTCTGAAGTACAATTGCTATAGTTAAGACAGTTTAGCTCCTTTGAAATGTAATTACTCTAAATCTTCTGAACTGCATTCTTCTAAAGTGAACTTGATACTTTGTTCTTTCTAAAGCATTTGGAAAATGGGAACTGAAAGTGTTACCAAGAAGAAGTAATCATATTTTCATTTTCCCTTTTGAATACTGCAACTGGACATAAACCCCTGAGTACAAGTTTTTGGGGCAAGAGGGAGAGAGTTTTTCTTTGCACTGTACAAATTAAAATGTTAACGTTAACCATAGGGATTGCAGAATTGGATATTTATTCATGAGGGAGAAAAGCTTAATCTTGAAGACCAAGTTTTTATAATGGAGGGATGTTCTCAATAATTGCCGATATGCATGAGCACCCTTGCATTTGGATGCTGCCTACAGCAATCTGAAATACAGAGATGGGAAGTTTTCAGGAGGGCAGTATCTCATATCAGCAGTTCCGTTTTCATAAAAAGTTAATCCCTTTTAAAACAGCATGAATTGTAATGCTTCTGAAACTAGAAGCAATGTTGATTTTAACATTTAACCCCTAGTTTTGGATAAGGGGACTTGAAGTGTAGAGAAGCCTAATGGTGGTATGACATGGAACTCGTTTTATCACACAAATTTTTCTGCATCAGTTTTGAAAAGCTTTAATAAAAATTAAGTCACAGCCTTTTAAGGTATGGATTCCCTTTCAGTTCTGTTTTGCCATCTTTTTTGCTCAGATTAGTCTATGGTCTTGGTGTATGTCACTTGCTCCCTGCCGTCAGACAAGTCCACACACAGCAGGACCTTCAAGTTAGTTGACCTGTTCCCAAACCAGTATTTCTGTGGACCATTTGAAAAGGGTTACAGACAGAGACTTTGCTTTTGCTTGGCTATCACCACCATGGTTGGTCTTCTGCCTCAGACCAGAGCTGTGTGGTTTGTTGTTGTTTGGATTTGTTTTCAGACTTAATCATGCTTGCTTCGCTCTTGTAAAACAATGTGTTGATATGGGATCTGCCAGAAACGGATTTATGAAAACTTTCATGCTGTGTAATGCCTTATAATTTATTGAAATGTGTTCAGAGTTCACTAGAGTTTTCCTGTAGAGTCAACATGAAATAGAAAAACTTCCCCCTGTCTCAAGTGTTTCATAAGAACATGGGTCTTTAGTGAGCAAACAGTATACTTACCTATCACACACACCATTTGATATTATTTATTGAATTCTTACAAGTAGGCAAATAGCTACTAAAGAACCTACTGTTTTTTTTTCCTTTGGACACTTTATTGAATAACCAGAATTGTGTGTTTCATCAGGTTGCATTGGCTGACTTAGTATTGAAGTTCTGAATATATTTATTTCTTTCTCAAAATATCTTGAGATTACTATTGAATGGGAAATATTATTAGCTAAAACACCACTTTTGGAAAGTGCTTTAATCAGCTATTATGTTTGCATAATAAGAACAGTTAACTTTGAAAAAGCATTCATATAGACTTGCATTTCTGCCAGAGCAAGGGAATGGTATTTAAAGGAGGCTGTGTTTATGATTCCAAAGCTGCTGGGGAAAAAAAAATTGTCAGATCTAGAACACTAGAATATTATGTCTTTGGAATTCTTTATGTTCGACACCTATTTATTTTAGCTAAGTATTTAATTACTGCTATTTTTGCCCATTGTTCACAAAACCTAGTGTTCTAGGACTATCAGCTCAGTAAGTCTGCCTTGTTTTCTTCCCAAATGGCATAATACCTTAAGTTGTTGGATTGTTTGGTTTTTGGGTTTTAACATCTTTCATAATTTCTTGTTTGCATCTTAAAATCCTGCGTGGAGTGGCTGCCTGTCAAGCAATGACAGCTGGCAGTGGCGGGTGCTCAGCGATGCTGTTGAAGGCAGTGTGTGCCAAGCTGCACACCCGATCTCTGCAGTGACCTTCGATCTGTGAAGGTCTGAGTAACTGGATGCAATGCCTTGCATCTGTAGAACGAGTTCAAGGGTAGCTATATCAGTGGGGTCCTGTGCCCAGTTAAGTACAGGTGCCAGAAGGATACAATGCGGCGCTGTAGTGGCTACATTGCTTTGGGATTCTAGCTGATAGTTGTGCATGGGATTGTTCTGTGCTGCATAGTTTTAAACATGTCCATAGTTTAAAAGCCATGATCAATTTTAAGTGTCCGGAGGTGGTTTTGGTTCTGCAGAAAATATAATTTTATCTTCGCAGTCTCAGTAAGTGATCTGAGTTATGGAGTTAATACTTTGCAGTGTATGTAAGTCTTCTGCGTAGATAACAGAACCATGTACAAGAGTTATTATTTACTCTTTAAAATTTGGACTAATTAATGAAATCATAAGCAATTTCTGTAAGATAAGGTATGATCTTATTACCTGTGAAGTTACACATTTTTTGGTTCTGCATCTCGAGCTGAGCTCTTCTGAGTGACTAATTCATGAAAATAAGAAGCTACTCAGTGGGGAGCAAAGAAGGAGTCTGAATTATCATGTCAGTAGATCCTGGTGAATTCTTCTGCTTAGGAAGCAGAGATATCCACTTCTGGAGTTATTCTTGAAATACATGGTGAACAGCTCTTGTGAGCTGTCAATGCAGTATTTGGCCTAATTTTAGTAATGGGAACTTTTTACATTTTCTTTAGCCCTTGAAAAGTTTTGGGTGGTGTCCCTCTCTCATCCCAAGTACAGATTTGTAAGTTATGTTTCAAAATATTGTGATATGAGGCTATTTCATTTCAACTTTCATAGATAAATAAAAGTTTGTTTTAGAAGAGGAGGGTTTGATATTATGTTGGCTGTTAAGATTTGCATCTGAATTGATGAATATTTTTGGGGTAGTTGGAAAGCTTGTTGTAAGTTGCTGTCCTTCCCATTTCTCTGTAGAAAACCGTCTGTGCAGAATGAGAATGTATTTATCTTTACCAGTTCCAAAATAATTTATATCACCTCAAAGTAACCCATTTCTTTAGTTTCAGCTGCAGAAGGTTCTGGGGAAAAGAGACACTTCAAACCTGTAGCCTAAACATGCTTGGTCTTGCTTCCTTAGAAATCAGTCTTGTACCAAATCCCAAAACACAGTGGAACACTTTATCTGCTTGGGAATTTTCCAGGCATGGGATACGAGCATGGGGTTTTCACAGTGGTAGGCAGTATCCTGGAATTTCAGGAAATATCCTCCAGAATTTTCTGTAGATATATTTGCAGTTGTTTGCAGATATTGTCTCTGTTTTCAGAGAGCAATAGGTACAGGTTAATGAAGTTTCTTTATATGGAAGTTTTTGTTTGGGATTTATAAAGTCTTTAATAAAAGAAAACTTGCTTTCATTTTCAAAGTATAACTTATACATAAAAGCAGATTGGCTTTTCAGCTTCTCGATGCAGACCAAATTAAAATATTTCATTAAACTTGTACTGATTGGTATAATATAAGTTAGAGCTAAACATATTCTTCTCTTTTTTTTTTTTTTTTTTTTTTTTTTTTTTTTTTTTTTTTTTTTTTTTTTTTTTTTTTTTTTTTTTTTTTTGTGTATGTGTGTGTACAGAAAAGATGAAAAGGAGTATGCACTGAAGCAAATTGAAGGTACAGGGATTTCCATGTCGGCCTGTAGAGAGATTGCAGTAAGTGTATATAAATGAAAGTATTTTTACTGATGTTGTTACTCAACAGATATTTTATTTTCCTCACATTAAGTAACATAAAGATTATCTAAATGTTTTCTTTAAAGTATGCAAGCATGAAAGTTTATTCAGATGTGAGCTTTTTTTAAAATGCTTTCTAAGTCATAATTTTCGTTTTAGTGGAAAGGAGTGTTCTTTCCAGGTAATAGTAATGTTTCTTTCTGGTATAATTTGTTTCTTCTGCTTTAATATGTTGAGAGGGAAATAAATGTGAACTTTTAAATGAAGTCTTATTTTAAAAAGGAATGTTTTTAAAATGACTTGAAGGAAAAAGGTTCTGGGAGATTACAGCTACCGTTACAATTCCACTTGCTAAAAATGTAATTTATTTCAGACTAATGACAGCTTGTTCTTCTTTAGCACTCGAGAACAGTTTGTTCTCCTCATTTCTTATTTGTTTTGCTAAGTACAGAGAAATTTCATAGCAAAATAAAAACCAGCTTTAATTGTATTTTTATTACATGTGTCTTAGGAGAAAAAATGGATTCAGAAACTTCACACTTAGAAACACATTAGTGCCTATAATTTCTTCAAATTTGGTAAAAATTAAGTGTTTGTATATGAAGGTAGAATTTGATCTTTAAATGTTTTATTTTACGTCTGAAAACATGTATTACTGTCAAAATGCTGGTACCAAGTAAAATTTTGCAAGAATTTCTTGCATTGCAAAACAAGTGCACTTGCTTGATTAAATATTTACCTTGTCTTAATGTTATTGCTGTGCTGCCAGCTGTTGAAATGTATGTTAGGATTGTGACTAAAGCTTTTTATAATCTAGCAATGTTGCATTGAAACCCAGCGTGCAGGTGTGCAATGCAACGTGAGGCATTAGAAATGCATGATGTCCATGAACTGAACAAAGCACTGTATTGGGTTTAGTGTAGTGTCCATGGTAATTCTGTATAAAGAGACTTAACAGATAAAACTGCTATCCTTTTAAAGTGCTTATCACTCTAAGGTCAAGGTCACTTGTGGATTTGAGAGACTGCTGCATTGCTGTCAGTCACTTTACACAGGATTTACCCAGTGACCTTTCTTGCTATTGTTTCTGCCTTTGGAGGAAATAAGAAATCCCCTTTTAACATCAGTGCTAGATTATATTCTTGATGCTATAAAATCAGTTTTGACAGCATCGAGGGTTTTTTGTTTCTTGGATTGTTGTCCTTTGTTTTAAATTGTGCTACTGTGGAGATCATTGTGGAATAGTCTGAAGGAAACTTTTCTGTTGTCATGATAGGGCTGTGGTAGGGAGCTGGTTCTATCATACCTGGACACAATAATGAAGGGAAGTAAAGAGTATTCAGTTATTTAACTTTGATGATACATAACTTTTTTGTCTTGTTTTTCTGATTTTTAAACTATTTTTAAAATGAGTAAACCTTTGTACAAAGCACAGTACAGCCTGTGAATTTTGACTTCTGGTGTGTAAGTTACTTGACTGCTTTTAATGGTTCATCTGGTAATTCTTCATTGAATTTTACTTTACTCTTCTTCAGACCTTATTGTAAAACTCTGTAACCTGAGCTAATGGAGCAAATCACCATTTGCCTCAGTGAAATTTCAAATATTAGAAATGTGAAAAAGGTAAAGCTGAAATAGTTGAAAAAGAAATATAAACTTTTAGTCATATAGAAACAAGCCAGAATCAAATGCATTTTCCATAAAGAGAAGCAGACTTCTAATTAATGCATCAAGAGCTTATCTTGTATTTAAAGGCTTAGATAGGTGACAAAGAGGGTAATGTTTACTGATTAAATAAAGACTTTCAACCTGTAAAGAGGCCATTTAAAAAATGAATAGTTCTTTGAACATTCAACCCACCCCTACCCTCACCAGCAGCAAAACAAACCCAAACCCCACCTTGGAAGCCGAGAACATGAAAGGGGCACCGGTGTGTGTTCAGAATATTTTAATAATTCTATAAACTGAAGGCACTTTACAATATGCTCAAGAAATATGTTGCCGAACTAAAAGACGCCCAGTTTTGCAGTCCAAGACCATTTTGCATGTCCTATTTTTTAGACAGTCAATATCTACTGACTAACTTTCCCTGAGACAAAAGGCAGATGACTCCTCTGTTCTGGCATTACAAATTCAGTTGATCTGTCTTTGCTTAGGACGTTGAGAACCACGAAGCTTCCCTTACCACCATTCATATGAGCTTTTCCTGGAAGAAGGCGTATGGCAGTGAAAACATCATTTAGGCAGTGGTTCCTGGGGCAAGTGATTGTTACTTTATTTCAACTGTAGGGTGATACCTGCTGAAGGATTCCATATTTCAGCCAATTCTGTTGTCTTGAATATGAAAGTATTAGAAGGTATTCTTATACATCAAAAGACGTGTGTGGGGGAAAAAAAGCTAATTAGTTCCCTGCAACTCAAGTCTATTCTGAAGATAACTGAAATGGCAGCTATTTCCGTGTTCCTGTTATGAGGCAGATTATTGCTTGGGTTAAGCAACAGCATTTTTTGAAGAGCAGCGCCATAAAATATGAATGAGAGTTACGAAATACAGAGTTTCATTTTTAGATGGTTATTTAGTTAATGAAAGTGACATCTCTTTCAGCTCAAGACTTGAATTAACTCATTTTGGAACTTGAGGGTGGGGGAAAGGAAGACTTTTACTTTTATTCAGTTATGCTGCTTTTGTATTTTATGTTTTGCTCTTTACCTTGTCTAAGAAGGTTTTTTAGAACAACAAATGGAGACAGAAGGGTATTAGCAGACCAGAGGGGTATTATTTGTTTGGGCTGGGTTTTTTTTCCTATGGAGTATCCTGGTCTTCATTTGTTCTGTTAAGAACAAATAGCTATAACTTTAAAAGTCTGCAAACAGCTAATGGTAATGGAATTTTGTACTTCTCTATCAAAAAAGCACCAGGGTAATACAGCTTTATCTGAGATTTCTTGTCCCAAAGGCTTTACTTCCTGTGAGAGTATTATCCAAATTAATTCAAGTACTTTACTTTTCACCGTGAAGAGACTATAGACTTCTAATTGTGGATTTTGGGAAAAACTAATTCAGAAAAAAGAAAAATAGTCAGCCATTTCTTAATTAGTACCATTCACTAAGTACTTAGTAAATATCTGGATATGTAGCCTGTCCTTGAGCATGGAAGAACTTCAGCGCAATTGTTGTTATTGGCTTATTTAGCTGATAAGATGCAGGTCAGAATCCTAAGTGAATGGAGCATGTCAAAAAGCAGGATCACAACCCTGAACTTTATGAAAGCAGACTTGAACCTCTTCAGATATCATCTTGGAAGAATTCTTTTGAGTTATAGCCCTGGAGAAAAGAGGATACAGGAAAACATGCTGGTATTCAAAGATCAGACACAAGGAACTTCCATCCCAAGAAGTGGGCAAGCAAGCAAGGGCAACAGGAGGCCTGCATGGATGAACAAGGAGCTCCTTATTGATCTTGGACATAAAAAGGAATCAGGGATTCCTTTTGGAAGCAGGGATTTGTAACACAAGAGAAGTATAGAATTGCTGTTTGATCTTGCAAGAATAGGGGTTTGAAAAGCCAAGGCTGATGTGGAGTTGAGTCTGGCAAGGGACCTGAAGGGCAACAAGAAAGGATTGTACGAGAGCATGAATATCAAAAGGAAGACTAAGGAAAATATGAGCCTGCTGCTGAATGGGTACAATAGGTATGGAAAAGGCCAAAGTACTCATAACTTTTCTGCCTCATTCTTTACCAGTGAGACCAGCCTTCAGAAGTCTCATGCTCTTGAGACCAGAGAATAAGTTGAAGAAGGAAGACTTACCTTTGGTGGAGGAGGTCCAGGTTAGGAAGCGTTCAAACTGGGCATACACAAGTCTGTGGTGTCTGATGAGCTGCACCCACAAGTGCTGAGGCAGCTACTTGGATTTCATTTTGAGACCATCCTCAGTTATCTTAGAAAGATAACCAAGTGGATAGAAGAGAGCAAATGTCACTCCTGTTTCCAGGGAGAGTCAGGGGAACTACAAGTTGGTCAGCTGCATCTTAGTCACTGGGAGGGTGATGAAGAAAATCCTGGTGGAAACCATTTCCAAACATATGCAGGACAAGACAGTGATTGGGCATAGTCAGCATGGACTTTTGGAGGGCAAATCATCCGTAACCAATCTGTTAGTCTTCTACCATGAGATGCCTGGCATGGTCAATCAGGTGAATGTTGTAGATTGTTTATCTCGACTCCCCTAAGGTTTCTGAGGCTGTCTCCCGTAACATTCTTGCAGACAAGCTAACACAGCCTGTAGACAAAAATGACTACTACTAAAGGTTTCATGTGAACCAGTGGCTTGAATTAGGTCCTGGATGCTGTTTGGTCAACTCCTGGTCCTTTCCAGCTTTTTACCCATCCTCACCAATGAGAACTTCCTCTCTTCCAAGGATAAATTACCAACTGTAGCCATCTCTGTAAATAGCAATCTTAATTCTAAACTTCATTTGATTTTTCTATGTTAGGGTGTTTTTATAGATAATTTTTTTTTTAATGTAGGGGAAGAAAATGAGACTAGGCTATTATAGGTTATTTAAATGGGAGAAGTAGAGCCAAAAACCAGCAGCATTGCTAACCTAGCCTTTTTTAAGGAGTGCCCTAAGTCCTTCAGTTTTGCCCTGTTTGAATGTTGGGTCTCGGACCTGTAATCATTTTAATTTCCACATCCTGTGCCTGTATGTGCTGTTTTTTAATGAAGACTGCTCCTCTCCGAGTCCTTTAAATGTTGCCAGTATGCTGTAGGACACTAGTGGGACCTTTGTGTTCATACTTGCATTTATGGGTACAGGTTAAAATAAATTCAGACTGTAATGTTAAACGAGTTGCTGAAATCTTACTCCAACAATTTAGCATGCACAAATTATTCTCAGGCCTTTGTAACAGTGTAGGTTACGAAGTGCTAGAGGGTACAAATATTTTGGCGTCCCCAGTTTCTGAGAGTGGGTGAAGT